CACGTAGCTGAGGCAGTTGACAGATCGGATTTTGAGTGGGTGTAGGCTACTACCTTTTTGGAGTGTTTGATGTCTTTTAGTATTTCCGCATTTGATGGATCATGATATTGATCCTTTATTTTGTATGTGGCCTGTATATGTTTTGTACATGTCTGTCACTTTGATGCATGTACATTTGGGTATTCTGGCACGTTATATGATGATGTATTATTCAGTTTATGATTTCTTATTGGATTGCATGCTGATTAGGATAGTGGCACGGAGCCATATTTTGCATGCGCCCATGGATGGGTATTTGATTATATTTGCATGATTGGTACTTCTGGATTAATATGCTGTATAAACTGTTTATCAGGAAACGCTTCTGAGTGGGATTGGAAAATCCCCAGTTGTCCGATTTATAGAGGAAACTCTGCCCGATTTTCGTTTACGCCGAGTAAGAATTAAGTTAGAAAAAGAAAAAGTTAGCTCATATTTTCGTAAGTTAAGTCTTCCGCTGTTTCTATTTATATCATGTGTATGTTAATTGAACCGGCTCGAGACGGGGATGTTACAAGAAACCTTCACCATAAAGAAAGCCCACCTTCACTATGAGAAAATGTATCTTAGCAATTACCTTCAAAGTCAACAAAGGCTGCATCTCAACAATATTAAATGTTATATCTCAGCAAGCCACTTTCCAAAAACTCCTCTGTAAAACTTCTCTCAGGCCTCCTCCTCAATAACCAAATTAGAAAGCTTTGTTGCCTCACTACTTGTGTAACACTGCATGTGCACGCGACATATTATCATCAGATATGGCATTAAGCATTAATTGTGTGTTATTGCCTTTGATTGCACATGATTCCTTTTCATTTTGTTTGATTTCGTTTGTCAATTTAAGGCTTAGAGAACCCTATTGTTACTTGGTTGTTTTTAGTTAATAAAATTCAGAAAAGAGAAATAGTATTTTCTTGCAATTCTTGTGTTCATTCATTCTTTCTGTTTAGCCAATGGTTACTGCTTCAACATTACAATCTCCTTTCTCCCCTCCGTTCCCCCCCCCCAATATTTTCTCTGATTAGTAAAAATGGTAAAATGGATTGGTTACTCTCCTTCCTTGTCCTTGGATTCTTCCATTACCTTTAAGTATCAATTTGATGATCTCGAACGTCATATCCAAGCTCTCAAGCATTAGATGCACACATTCGTGCAAACACAAGCACAAACGCTCCCTTCCCTAGAATAGGATGTAAGACATTGGCTAGATCTCTTTCAAGAAGAGTCTTTCCTGTAGATCTATCACAAGTCACACCTTCAGAGTTGGCCGCTATTTAATATGACTTTGTCATAAAGATTGTCCCAACATATCATCACCAAATGCAAGACCCTTGCAAGGACCACCCACACACATAGCAAGGTGTAGATGCCTTAACAACCATTGCTAAGTCATGTAGTCAAGACAATGTGGTTTAGGCTTGGATGGAAGACGAAGGGAGAGAAAAATAGTTTGAGAAATCCGGGACGAAGAGAATAATGAATGTGTAGTGGAGAAGCAAGATAGGGAAATGGTACAAATGAACCATATCCAAAGTCCTAACCCTAATCACGTAACCACTGTAAATAACATATATGAGTCTAATGGTGTGACAACAATGAGTGGCAATCTAGGTACATTAGTTGATCTAACTCAAACTCGATTACATGTCAAGCCTTATCAATGGTCATGTCTTGAGATTGAACTATCCTAGTTGTCTATCAATGACCTATATCTAGTTGTCCATTGCGGGTCTTGGGATGCGGTAAGTGATTAAACACAATTAATATAATTTACAGGAGGCACGTTGTTAGGTTACACGGAGTGGCGGACTGACACTAGTGCCTATGTCTGCACATGCAGACACAAAACTTTTAGAATTTTTTTTTTTAAAGAGGTGGGTGATTTAGGTAAGTAAAAAAAAAGATTTAGGAAGATTAAAAAAAAAAAAAGTAAACATAGGCCCAATCATGGTAGTTAAAATTGGGATCTTACCTAAAATTAGAAGGAGGATAAAAAATCATAAAATCGTAAAAGTGTTTGGAATTTTGATGAAATCGTTTTGATTAAAAAAAATCGTAAAATACTAAAATCACAAATTTAAATCGGGATTTTAACTAACATAGGCCCAACCCAACCAATCCCTATAATTAAAAGCTTAAAGCTTAAACTCTACCTCATTGCTTTGTCTCTTCTTCTTTTTTTGAAACATAAACCTTATTAGCTCCAAACCTTAATAGACATCGATAATTCCTGAAATTCAATCTTCATCAAGTGGAGGATAATCGTACGGGATTTTTCATGTTTTTTTGTGAAGCAAAAGTGGCCAACTTTGGATCAAATAGACATCAACAGAGATGGATTTTTGATCATCATTTTTTGTATGTTAAGTTAAAGTTTTCTTTTATTGTTTATATATTTTTAATACATTTAAAATTTTCTTTAAAAAAAATTTCGGGGGCAGCCCTAAATGTCCAGACATAAAAAAATTTTTTTGGGTCCGCCACTAGTTACATGTAACATCCCAATGGTTGACGAGGGTGAGGACTGATTGTCAGTGCAAAGAGGCACGAACAAGGAGCGACTCTTGGCAGATTTCCAGCGGAGGAGTACATGAATGAATCGAATACGCACCCGAAAGAAAGGGATTCCAAAGACTGGACATGTGTAGGACTCTACAGTTGCGGATAACTTATGAGAATTACTTGGTACTACCTAAACTAACATGATACATCTACTTTTGCGTATCCCAGAACGGAAAAACTTCATAGTTAAGCGTGCTTAACTTGGAGCAATTCAGCGATGGGTGACCTTCTGAGAAGTTTTTCCAGAAAATGTGTGAGAGGATAAAACATGCTGAAAAGTCTCGTATTAGTTTGTGGGCACAATCATTGATTATTGAAATGGTCGGGTTTACATTGCAGATATTTCTCCCTTTTTCATAACCTTAAAGGCTTGGTATTTTATTTGCGTCAACTCAACCTCAAGACATATTATTTCGAAGAATTGAATGTAGCAATCCACATAAAATTAATGTTTTAAAAATATCAACTATTTAATAAACTTAATCATTGTAATAAACTAGTTAAATATCAACTTCCAAAATATCATAATAAAATAAATATATATTCATTTTATGTAACAAATTTTTTTAATTTTTTTAATAAAACTCAATTTAAGTATTGAAATATAAATATAAATTAATCTAATAATTTTTTTGAAATTAAATTTTCTATAAGAATAAGAAAAGTACAAGCCAAGAAATCAATATAAATAATCCACAATAGGCATAAAACTAAGTGAGTGCATTCGATTAGGATTTTAAAACACTATTTTGAGATAAATTTTATTATAGATTTTAAAAGACTATATAAAATTATAGTGACTTTAAAGACTTTTTTTATAATCAAGATTTTATAAGATTGAATTTTAAAGGATTTTAATAGAATTTATAAGATTTGAAAGGACAATATGAATTCATAGGATTTTAAAAAATCATATGAATTTTTAACAAATGTTCAAAATTACAAGAGTCAATGAAAAAATAACAAAAAAACACAATGATATTAATAAAAAAATTAAAACCTAGTATAATTTTTTTCAATCAGTAATTTGATGTATCTTAAGCAGCTCTCCACATATCTATACTAGCCCTCCACGCATTAACATCTTCTCGTTTATGCTCTTGGGTTTGACCAATGGTTTGAAAATTATCTTCTTTATTTGGTATTAGAGGTATTCATATATGATTATAAGACATACAATTTTTTTATTTATTAAAATAAATTGAAATTTACTTATAGAACCTAATGTTCATGATAAAATTTTGTTTGAAATTTTTTGCTATTGATCTTGAAAACCTTGGAGCTTTTGTTCTACGTGATGATTTTAATTATATATCATATGCATGTTTTCATTGAGTAGGCTAAGAAAATTTTGAATCTAAAATTTTGGGTTTTATTACATGAAAGTTTAGAAAATTTCTCAAATTATATAAATAATTGATATATTGAAACCTTAAATTGCTTTTGGGCTTCTGAAAAAAGTTTTTAGTGATCTATTGACACAAAAATTGTTTAAAATTATTTTCTATTGCGAAGGAATTTCGTTCATGAATATATTGTTACGAAATATAGGTTCATATTATATATTATGAAAGTTTAAATCTTTTCTTTAATTCCATCTTGTTTCATTGATGCAAAACAAAAATTGGTTTGGTATTTTTTTTGTTTCCCAGTTGATTTCCCACTGTTTTATGTTTTTTAATACAAAAATTACACATTTTTGTGCAAGAAAAATCGTGACCTATACCTTGAAAAATTATTTTTTAAACTTCCAAAACTCTCAAAAATCTGCTATTTTTAGATAGATTAGATTAGAATCTTGTTGGGTTGTTGTTTTTGAATTATTTTGTGATGAAAATCGCTCAAAAGTATGCTGTTTTTGAGATATGTCGAAGCTCCCTTGACAAGATCGATTTTGAGCTAGTTGACCCGTCAAAAAAAGAAGAAACATTGGAATATAGAAATCTCAAGAAATCTTAGAGGTTATGGTAAAATTACGAGAGAGACATCTTATTTATACTTATCACTGAATAGTCTCATGAAATCCATATCAATAGAAAATTTAGTTAAATCATCAAATTTTTGAATATCATAAGATTATTTTTCCTTTGTTCAATATCATGATTGAATATTATCGAAAACTCTAAAATAATATTTTAAAATTTTGATAGAATATTATATGACTTTTTTAAATTCTTTAAAATATTAATTAAATATCAATAGATTTATTATCAAAGATAATTATTAAAATTCTTTAAAATCCCAGTCTAATACTTTAATTAGCCCAAAATTTTCAAGTTAAGTAGACTTAACGAGAACCATGTTTATAGTTATGCTCTTTCTAACCTTTCCTTTCACTTCGCAACACGATTTTCTTTGCTCCTTTCTAGACCTTTCCACACACTCCCATTTATATTTAACCCCTCTTCATTTTTTATCCACTTCAATCTTATTGTTATTTACACAAACACTTTGCGTGCGTAGCGTTGGATGGCGAGGTACGGCGACGGAGACAAACGGTGGATCGTGGAGGAGAGACCCGACGGTACTAATGTTCACAACTGGCATTGGGCTGAGACTAACTGTTTGGAATGGTCTAGAACCTTCTTTTCCAACCTTCTTTCCAACCTCACCGTCGTTGACGGCGAGGGCAACCTCTTCATGAAAACCACCACGCTCCGCAACCTCGACGGCGAGGCTTACATCAACATCCGTAAGGGTAAGATCATTCCCGGCTACGAGATCAGCCTCACCCTCGCCTGGGAAGGCGAGGCCAAGGATTCCGAAGGCAAGTCCTTGCTCAAGGTCGACGGCACCGTCGAAATCCCCTACATCTCCGACGAGAACGCCGACGAGGACCCAGACCTCAGGGTCACAGTCAACGACGAGGGACCCGTTGGGAAGAGGCTCAAGGAAGCCATGCTTTCAAAGGGGAAGCCCTTGATCCTCGAGAAAGTTAAGGTTTGGGTTCAGAGCATGGCCGAAGGTGGTCCTGTTAAGGACGAGTTGGATACCAAGAAGGCCTCGCCGGCGCCGGTACCGGCACCGGCGCCGCAGCAGCAGCAGCAGCAGAATCATGTGCCGGTGCAGGTTGCAACTGCAGCGAAAAGGGACGGTTCGTCGGAGAAGAAGGAGAGCAAGAAGGGGCGGAAAAGTATTATCTTGACGGAGAGGTTCAATTGCAGAGCGAGGGATTTGTATGAGATATTGTTGGATGAGAACAGGTGGAAGGGTTTTACGCAGAGCAATGCTAGGATCAGTAAGGAGGTTGGTGGTGAGTTCAGCATTTTTGATGGGTCGGTGACTGGAACTAATATGGAGTTGCAAGAAGGTAAATTGATTGTGCAGAGATGGAGGTTTGGAAGCTGGATCGATGGGGTTCAGTCTCTGGTTAGTGTTTTCGTTGATTGAATGCTGAATCACACATTACTAGACCTAGAATCAGTGTTACGAGTGGTGATTAATATTTTGCAGGTGAGGCTTGTGTTTGAGGAGCCTGAACCGGGAGTTACTATTATCAAGCTGACGCATACTGATGTGCCTGAAGAAGACCGGTAAGTGTTTGATTAGGATTGGTTTTTGATGGAACCCAAATTTATAACACTGATTTTATTGCATCAATGGAACAAGACACCAAAAGACTCCATCTCACCCTTTGAACCAACTACCATAGGCTCTAAGAGATCCCCATATCCCCAATATTTACTCAATATATGCATATCTCAATCCCCATATTCCCCCTTCTTTTATCCTATGCTCTGAGATTATTCTAGAACTAACTAACTCTCTTCCTTTTCTCTCTCTATAACAGCCCCTATACTGTTATTACATTTATCCCTCATACTTCAGGCCATCAGTTTTTAAGGAATCTTTGTTTTGTTTTGTTTTGTTTTTGCCTAATTTAGTTGTTTCTTTATGCAGCTACGGGAATGCCACTGTGGTGGAGAACACGGAAAGGGGATGGCGGGATCTTATTTTCCAAAGGATACGTGCACTTTTTGGTTTTGGAATTTGAGGTTTTCCAAATAGTTTTTCATGTGTTGTAGAATTGAAGGAATTTGATATTTTTAAGATTAATGGATTTGATACTGGATATTGTGAACAGCATTGGTCGTGGTTAGTTATTGAAAGAGTGTCTTCTGAGATACTTTATGCCTCTATATTTTCTTCAATACTTCATGCATCTGCCTCTGTGCAATAGGATGTTTCTTGCTCTATCGATGTATTGTGTAGTTTGAATGTGATTCGTCATTGGTGTGGTTACTTGTTCATGTTGGCATGCATTGAATCAGTTGAAAAGTCACCTTGCTTTAAACGACGTCTCGCCCTGTGCAGAAGTAGAGGGGATTATTTGATTATAGGGTAAATTTCCCCGGCTACATGTTTTTAATTCCTATTTATGTAACTTGCGCATAAAATCTTAGCGGAGATTCTTGGATTATCACTATTTGAGACAATGGAGTTAACCTTTTTGCGACTTGGATGGTACCTACCATGAACTTGGAAATGAAGTCCTATTGTTTGTACTCTGCTGGAAATGAGTGTCTGGATCATTTTGAGAATGGGGTGTTGTACTGTTTTTTGCGTGGATTATTTTTAGATCGTTGTGATACCATTTAGGCCAAAGAGATTAGATGATTTAGCTATGCTTCCATGTCAGTTTGGTGGGGTTCCGTTTTCTCGTTGTCTTTTATGTTTCCTTGGTGGATAGGGAAACATTAGAATGCCTGCATATCAGCATTTTCAAGTCAGAGGCTCGTTCTTAGCTAATGTGAGTTCTGTCGCATTTGGGTATACACTAGGCGCTCAACCTCTTACGTGGGTTGTATTTGGAAGGTATTTGAGTCATTCTTAATCAGGATCAGTCACTCTCAGTGATCAGGAGAATTAAGTCAAAATTGGCACCTACGGATATTCTGATGACATTTACTTGATTCTGTCAGTATGGTGCTGATGTAGTGGAAGCTGACACAGCTTTTTTTGGACAATGTACCTACATCATTTCTAAAATAAGAAATAATTCAGGACATGAAGGGAATTAGAAATATAGCCATGGATACAAATTATATGAAACTTGTCGTGGCTATTCTATCTTATTTACTTTTGCTGTGTTGTTTCTGTTTTTTTCTTTTGTTCTGTTCATCAATTCGAAGGTATAAAGTTTCTGTATAATGAAAATGAACTTCATTTGTCTGTATAATTAATGACTTAAATGAATCGGTCTGTTTGATCTCTAATTAACCTTTATTCTGCTCTGTTGAAAATGATTACTCAAATACCAAACCATTCAACTATGGTAACCGACCTAAAATTCTTGATAATTAACATCCTTCGGAAACTACATTATTGTGTAAGTATGATTTTCAGTAAGGTTATTTGGATTGGTGAAATAGCACTATTCTTAAAAAGATCTATGATATTAAATACAAATTGTATTCTTTATCCGTGAGATTTCAAAATTTTGATTTGGATAATTTGTTTTTGGTTCTGCAACTGTAAAAATGCGTACAGATTCACGCAGATTACATTGTATTCTTTTGAGCAACCTTTCATCAATTAGAACTTATCTTCGTTCTCCTTCTTCATTCACTGATATGGAACTCTCATTAGAAGAGGTCACTGTTGTAAGACAGATTAACAATTTATGAATTTAGAGCTAAAAAGTGTAGTCAAATAAAAAATCAAGGTGAACAAATTTATTCTAAAAGCAAAATATAAATGTAAGGCGAGCATATCAATAATTTACGAATTTAGAGCCAAAAGAATTTAGTCAATAAAAAATTCATGGAGAGAAATTCGGTGAAGAGCTCGTAGACCAAAATAAAAGATATAAATGCAATGAAAAAAATTTAACAAACCGTCGCCTGAGAGATTCGAACTCTCGCGGGGAAACCCCATGTACTTAGCAGGCACACGCCTTAACCACTCGGCCAAAGCGACTGTTTTATTTAAAGGCTGTAAACTAAGTACTTCTAAACATTTTCATATCCGTACAAGTGAGTTTAAACTTAATGGGAGACACCTTGATGGTTGGAATTAACAATCAATATTGATGCTATGCGAAGATAATGGGCTTTTTGACCACTATAGCTTTTTTTTAATAATTAATTACCAAATTAACTTTATTTATAAATTATTTTAAAAATTTAACCTCTTCAGAAAACATAACACCAATCTGCCCCTGTTTGACCGTTGACCATGAAGCCTACCCGGGTACACCCCTCCCTACTCGGGTATATTTCTTGAACTGGAAAAAAGTTTGAATTATTTACCCGGGTAAGTAGGGGTGTACCCGGGTAAATAATCATTCTCCCAACAACAAACAAAAAAACAAACAAGGAAAATGAAGACTTTCTGATAGTATCTTACATTTTTGCAGCCTTAACTAAGGTTTTATTTCTTTTACTCATTCTCCCAACAACAAACAACAAAAACAAAAGCCTTACCCACTAGTTAGAATCAGGTACATGAATCAAATAACACCATGGTGTTCTGTCTTATGACTCATTCTGCCATTTGCAACTCTACCATGGTGTACATGAATCAAATATACTTAATCTATTTTTTGGCTCTGCACCTCTGTCGTGCCTTGTGAGTACCAGGATTTGCTGCATGCAGTTCCTTTGACATAACATAGATGCAAAATTGATATCATTTAATAGATTTGGAGAGGTGTATTGTTGGAAAGAAGTAAAACATTGAAGAAAGGCCAATTCAGAGTGATATAGTTACTTGGGAGCTATACCATCGAGGAGAATAAATTTGAGAAAACTGCCTTGAAGTTTTCTCAGTTAGGACAATTTGAGAAAGGCCAATGCTGAAGTTTCTTTTCTTTTTCTCCAGATAAATACTCTAATAGCTAATGGTGACAAAAAGTCATTAAGGAAAGTCGTTACTAAGAAGATGTTTTCGGTATGCTTCACTTCCTTTTTGTGATCTTATTTAGTGTATTATATGAGCTTATGATGCAGCTCTGTACATTTTTGCATTAATATCTAAGAGTGTACGTTGAATTTCTGAGATGCTGTATTTCATTTTCTGTATGATTATTTACCCGGGTACACCCCTACCTACCCGGGTAAATAATTTAAACTTTTTTCCAGATTCAAAAAATATACCCGGGTAGGTAAAAAATTTCGAAAAAATACTCGGGTAGGGAGGGGTGTACCCGGGTAGGCTTCATGGTCAACGGTCAAACAGGGGCAGATTGATGTTATGTTTTCTGAAGAGGTTAAATTTTTGAAATAATTTATAAATAGAGTTAATTTGGTAATTAATTATTAAAAAAAGCTATAGTGGTCAAAAAGCCGAAGAGAAAGCTACATTTTGGTTCGTTCTTCGATTAACCTATTGATGATAAATATTTGCTGCCAAATCCCTCTGGGTTAGTTTCTCCTCAGCTATCCCTCATCTCCAGTGATCTTTTTTGGTGTGTTCTACTTTATATATATATGGGAAAAATATTTATCCTTTTAAATGACACAACTTATATTCTTTCACTCTCACAAAGAGATGAGACCCACATCTTTATTTTTTTGTCAACTCTCTCTCCTCATTTATCTATCTATTTCTCTCTTAAAATGACATAACTTTATATTCTTTAAAATGACACACACTTTACCCTATATATATATATATATATATATATGAAAAAATATTTCTCAAGTAATTTGAGATAAATTTATTTCCGGTCACTCCAAAGTTACGTCATTTTATTTATTTATTTTCTTATATTAATTGATTCACTTTTGAATGGTTATGATTCCATTTCTCTCTCTTCTTTTATCACCATTTATCCATTTTTGTACAGTTATGATTTAGTAGTCGAAAATAAAATTATCTCAAACGGCTTGAGAAACGATAAGCTCATATATATATATATATGGAAAATAGTTGTCTTATGTCACATAAGACAATTATTTTATGTTACATACGCATGAAATCTTGTGCCCATTTTTTCTTTTTCTTTTTTATTTTTTTTTAAATTGTGGGTCCCACAATTTTATTTCACCCACATAAGATACCTATCTCATGCAACATAAGATTAATAATTTCGTGTGTATATATATATATATATATATATATATATATATATATATATATACATGAGGTATGATCCTTTGACACCGGTGTCAAATTTGAAGTTTGACACCTCATCTAAGAGCCGTTAGATCAAAAAAGATCAACGACTTTGATTTGTAAGCATGTGACACCATTGATCTTTTTTGATCTAACGACTTTTAGATGAGGTGTCAAACTTCAAATTTGACACTGGTGTCAAAGGATCCTGCCTCTATATATATATATATATATATATATATATATATATATATATATATATATGTATATATATATTCTGAATTCCTTGTGTAATAATCTGTTTCTGTGATTGGACAAAATGATTGTGATATGGTATGAAAGTTTATGCTTCTTTGAATCATATTTTGGCAGAGGAACTTAGTGGTGAGTTGGGCTTCTCAAGGACGGTGGATCTTGGAAAGTATTTGGGTATTCCTCTTCATCATCGCAGAGTTGGGAGGGCGGCTTTCAGTCATATCCTCGATCGAGTTCAATCTAGGATTAATGCCTGGAACCACACCAGTCTTTCTCTAGCAGGAAGAATTACACTTTCGAAAGCTGTTCTCTCAGCTATTCCAGCCTACACAATGCAAGTTTCTGTTGTTCCTCTCGGAATCTGCAATGATATTGAGAAACATATTAGGAGGTTTTTGTGGGGTTCTAATAGAGCATCTACTCGTCCTCATCTGGTTGCGTGGGATCAGTTGTGCATGGATAAAGATCATGGAGGGCTGGGTCTGAGGAAAATGAAGGAAGTTAACAGGGCTTTTATTATGAAAATTGGTTATGGGATCCTTTCTAATCCAGACGCGCTTTGGGCTAGAGTTTTAAAGAGCAAGTATAAAGTTCAGTCTGATTTGGTTCTTAATATTTCTGCTACTCGGAATAGCTCCTCTCTTTGGAAAGCAATTGTTTCGTCTTGGCCTGTGATATTACAGCATTCCAGAATTTTGCTAGGTAATGGAAATTCTACTCATTTTTGGGATGACCCGTGGGTTCCGGGTTGTGGTGCACTCTCATCCTATGCTGCTATTTCTGATCCCTCTCAGATAAATCATCAGCTAATGGTCTCTGATCTTGTCTCATCCTCCGGAAGTTGGATGTGGGGGGCTTTCCAGCATAGTCTTCCCGATCACGTCAATGCTCGTATTAATAACATCCTTCCTCCTTCGGATGTTAATGGTCATGACCGAATTTTGTGGACAAGGACATCTGATGGGAGTTTTTCGCTGAAGTCCGCTTATATGGCCATATCCAGGGGTAACGAGGAATCTACCAATTTACCTTGGAATCGCGTTTGGCAGTGGCATGGACCTGAACGGATTCGTACGTTCCTTTGGCTGTTGTTAGGAGATAAAATTTTGACAAATGAAAGGCGTTGCAGACGGCACATGGCGGGTTCAGATATATGTCATCTGTGCAATTGTTTTACGGAAACTTCCTTACATGCGGTTAGAGATTGTATTGCAGCAAAAAAAGTGTGGGAGATTGCAGTTAAGCGAGAGGCTTGGGAGGATTTTTTCTCTCTTAATCTTCAGCAATGGGTGTTGTCCAATATCTCTGAGGATCGTAATTGGTCCAATTTGCCATCATGGCCTCTTCTGTTTGGTATCATTTCCTGTTTCATTTGGCAAGCTAGGAATAAGAAAATTTTTCAGGGATCTTCTGTTCCTGCTTATGGCACTTTTAGAGCTGCTATGGTCTATGGTGAAGATTTTTCTTGGTCAGAAAACACGCTTCGAGTTGCTGGTCTTGAGACTAACTCGAATAAAGAGAAATTAGTTTCTTGGGTTTTTCCTTCGGACCCTTGGGTTAAGCTCAATGTGGATGGGTCAAGTATGAATAATGGAGAAGCTTCTGCTTGTGGGGGTGTATTTAGGGATGCTAGTGGAAGGTGGCTTGTTGGCTTTTGTAAAAATCTTGGCTGTGGTAATGTTTTGTTAGCAGAACTTTGGGGTTGTCTCCTTGGGCTTGAGATTGCATGGAGGAAAGGTTTCCGTTTTGTCTGGCTTGAAGGTGATTCCTTAGTAGCCCAGTTTTTCATAAGAGAAGGGTGCAGCTCTCATCATCCAGCCTCTAACTTGGTCTTGCGCATAAGGAATATGCTGGATTGGAATTGGAGGGTTAGAATTTCCCATATTCATAGGGAAGGGAATGGGGTTGCCGATTGGATGGCCTCTTTTGCCTACTCCTTTGATTGGTCTTTACAAGAGTTTGACTCGCCTCCTTCTGGTTGTCGTGACAAACTTGAAAGGGACTATGTAGGAGTAGTTTGGTCTAGGAGGTGTTCCTAGTTTCTTTTTTTGTTTTTCTGTTTCCTGTTTGCTTTTCAAAAAAAAAAAAAGTTTATGCTTCTTCAATGATCAAGACGGCGGGAGTAATAAACAAATTTTTTTTTTTAAACCACTTGAGTTAGTCTAATCGTTATACGTTTGCCCCTCTTTATTACAAAAAAAATAAAATAAAAAATAATTGTGTTAGGTGAAATATATTCTAGTCTTTCTTCGTATAAAACATAAAACACCTCTTCAATTTGTTTTGGCTATTGGAGAGAGTTCCACTAATATATGATACACAGTTACACGTGGTGGCCAGCATAAAGAAAGATAAAAATAAAAACATTAGAAGATTATTTTTTTTAAATATTAACTTTTTTGGTATTCTGGGGCAAGAGGGAAATATATAACAGAAGAATGTATCATATAAACTTTTGGATCATATCTCTGACTTCTTCAATGACTAGCCAGGCCTTATGGCCTCCAACGACTTCTGCTTTCATCTCTCCATCTTTCCACAGCTGCAAATAATTCATGTATTCCGTTTTATTTTCCCATACTTTTTGATATCTAAACTAACCCTGGCAGAGTGGCAAGAATTTTTATTTATTTTTAATGGTATCATATTGAAAAAGTATTTAATGGATGACGCACCTGAATTGTTGGCATTTTCTGGGAAGGAGAGGAGAAGAACAAAATAAATAACAGTAGCAAAAAAGAATAAAAAGTATGTGAGACATTGTTACAAGAAAGAATCAATAAGGGTTTCAAGAATGAAAAGTCATACTTACAGAGATGTTTCCACGTTTGACTAGAGACTGAGGTACTTTATTCACGTCCACGTAATAAAATTTGACTCTGAAACAGTGCCAAAATAAGAAAATAAATGAATTAGTAGCAAAATTAAGTTTGCATTGCATTAAGAAAGAGATTGTATTCCATACTTGAATTCACATTTCACAGTAGGGTTTAATCTTTATCTTATAGTTGAAGGGTTTGAGGCAGAGCATCTTCAAATATATATGTGGTTTTAAAAGAAGAATTAATTAAAAAAAAGTAAAATCTCAAGAGGCATATGACTGAAGAAGACTCCAGTGACTAATTTACTTGGTGTCAAATTCAGCGGCCAATTTTTCCAACTTGGGCTTCAAATAGATGCATTTCCGGCACCATGCAGCCATCCTATATTCATAAAAAGCAATCAAATTAGCAAGTCTACCCAAAAAATTCCATTGCATTCCAATTTAAATTTAGAATAAACTTTTATTTTAGTCATATAGAGATAAAAGGAACATCATTTTAGTCCTTCAAAACACTAATTATGATATTAATTTTTGTAATTGAGAGATTAACTTAGTTTTAATTTTATTTGAAGGATCAAAATGATGTTATTTATATTTCTTTTAAAACAAAAAATTATATTTACTCTTAAATTTATAACGGATAAAAACTATATTTCATAATTTAAGATTGAGATTTTTCATGACCAATTGAATTTATATTCTTTTTATCTATTCACAATTAATTGAAGATAATATGAGAACTATAATTAAACTAACAATTATAAATAAGCAATTAAGAGTACTAGTAACATTATTCTTACTGTGAGTATTTATTATTTATTTCTTAATTATCCTCATAATCTGAAAGGAAATTACGATAACTTTTCCCTCCCCATTATAAGGTCAATGCCTAAAAGAAAAATTGACGATGAAGGCCTATTTACTACAATAATATTTTATATAAAAAAACCAATTAGTCATTGACTCATTATACAAATTAAATAATTATTATTTATTAAAAAAAATATATTCATTCACTTATTCCGCATAAATATTAAAAAAGCACTTATCTATACTATCAATTTTCCAATAAATGATTATTCTCAAATACTATAAACTTGGTTGTTGCTGTTATTTTATTATACGGGATATAAAAGTGTAAACGACATGAATTTGGGTTGACAACACAAGATATTAAATTTTTCAAACGACACTCAAGTTCAGCCAACCAACCACACACACACACACAAACACACCAAAAAAATCATCAAAATATCTCTCTACAGTCACTGTTTCGCCCTGCCAATGGATGGCCATCATTTAGAGCCACGATAAGATAAAAGAAAAATGCAACATAACTTCATATTTTAAGTAAACAACAAAATTATGGTGTATATGTGCATAAAGCTAAGTAAAATTAGCTGTTAATATATGCTAAAAAATATAAAAAAAACTTGAGAGAGAGAGAGAGAGAGAGAGAGAAGTACCACTTACCAGTCAACGAGGATAGGTTGAGAGTTTTGCTGAGCATGAACTAGAATTTGATCCATTTGCTCAGAGTCATTAATGGCTTCCAACTCTACTGCACTTGGTCTTGACAAATCTGGCCACATAGCTTCCACCCTCAAATTCCTCCCTCTAATTTTGCGTTCTCTGTTTCTGCTTTCAATCCATATATTCCCACAACCACTCTTGCGTGATAACAGGTAGCCCCTGCCACTTACCAAGTACTGTTGATCTCTCGGGTAAACCTCTTTGTATAGAAAATGTGAATATGCGCCTATAATAGACATACCCTTTGCACTGCAAGCTTCCCTATTTATTTCGACTAGACAAAATCACAATACGATGAAAACGGTGCCTAATATGTTTATGGCTAAGAAAAAAAGAACAAAATCATTCTGGGTGCTTTGTTAAAGTTTAGGGGACAGAGGTTGGAATTAGATGCTAAGAAATGGAAGGAGAGTGGTGTCGAATTTTTGGTTGGTCTTGAATGTATAAAGCAGGCGAAAAAAGAAGAACAATAATGAAAATAAAAAGAAAATAACTTTAATTCCTTAAAAACCTCGGAAACATGGCGCAGTTCCAAGGCTTATCCGCAAGGTGTGCACGGCGACAGCTTAAGAAAGATAGGGAAAAAAAATAAAAATAAAAATAACAAAACCAGACGAGAAGGGAAAAGAAGCACGGGTCCACGCACTGTGGATAAAGCACCAATAGGTTCTCACTATTTTATACACATTTTAAATTATTTAGAGCTGTTTCGATCCTTTCTTTTTCAAGGCAGAAATTATTTATAAGATAAAGTAAAAAAAAAAACTTAAAAAAAAAGTCAAAAGTTGTTTGGTAATCACGTAAAAATTTTAACTTAAAAGTTATTTAAAATCACATATTTCAAGAAAATTATCTTTCTCTATCTTTATAACTCTTCATTTAAAAAAAAAAACACATAATTCAAGAAAAACAGACAAGAACTTAAAAAAAAAATTCTCCAAAAAACTTTTAATTTTCAGCTTTTTTTTTTATTATAAAAAAAAGAGCTTTTTACTTTAAGAGTTTTTTTCCAAAAACTTATTTAGTCTAACTTATGCTTATAAAGAATTTCTAACTTAAAAAAGAAGAAGATCCAACCATACAGTTAATTGTAATTTTCACTTATTTGGACCGATGTGAGAAATTTGTGTATTAATGTATAATGTATTGGTTGAATAAGGAAAGTAACCAGTAAAAAAAATGAGAGACAAAACAGTCAGACTCAAAACAAACCTGGCCCGTAGCCCAACTTATTTAATGGCCCTTTTCTTTTTCCTGTTATGATTCTGGTTTGCCCTCACCCCAATGTTCGCCCCAACCCATTTCAAAGAGAATATTTTTATGTGCTCTGACAATTAGTATACGAATTTGATGAAAATATAACTTGCAGCATACAAAGTATATGTTTGTCCTTAAATTGGAGTTATGATATATTATGCAATAAGATTTAAATAGAATTGAGATTGCTGAGAGTATTATTCATAATTAACTTTACAACTATGGATTCTTTCATTATGATTGTATAGCATAAAAAATTAAATCTAAGTTTTTGTAAATACATAAAAATGCCTTTTTTTTAGGCATTTTTATAAAGGAATTTATTAATCTCATGCAGTAGTAGGAGACATTTTGTCTTATGTCATAAACACAATTATGTGGTTGGATCCACTCATAAAAACAGAAAAAAGAAAAGAAAAATACAAAAATTGAAAGGTTTGTAAGAAAAAAAATTACTCTCCAACAACATAAGAATAGTTTTTCTTTTTTATAAAACACTTTTTTGTCAACACCCTTTTATAAATGAGTAAGAATATTCTAACTATAAAAAATTCTTACTACTAAGTACTAACTTACTACCCATCACATCACCATTGGATCAAAGAGAGAGAATGTTAAAAAGTTTTTGAAGTGAGAGAAAATGTTAATCTAATGGTGATTAGATAGGTAGTAAGTTGGTAGTGAAAAATTTTGGTAGAAAATATCCCTCATCGTCATAAATTATTTTGCCAGGGAAGAGGATGGATAAAGATGTTTGAGTGTGTCGCGAAAAATTTATTATGCTCCCGCCCCACCATTTATTCAATGGTTCTTTATCATAAATAAAAAATTCTCTTTCATTTTTATCCCTATATTTTTGATTTCCCCCTTATCAATTTTTACTTTTTTTATTTTATTTTGAGAGGGACCACCATACTCCCCCCTCAAAAAACTTTCATGTCATGGAGAATCAATTTCATTCCCTATTCTTACAAAGCAGTGTTCTTTACCACTAAGGTTCATGTGCACCCTTTCAAAAAACTAACACATGCTCTTTTTTCAAAGGGTGTCACGGGGGTTCAATTCAAGCATTAGCCTATCCTTTTTTGGTTGTATATACGGGTGCGGTTCTTTTTATATTCCCGTGTAAGTGAAAATATACAAGAAAATTGCAACAAATAATTGAAATTACCATTAATTTGGGTATCAATATGGGTTAACTTGTTTCATTAAAGAGGCATTCAGTAGAAGATATATATTTTTTTATCAGATAAATATATTTATCAGGAATATGATTGGAAAATGAGTTTGGTACGAAAGTTAAAAAAAAATAGTTTGCTTGGCCAGAATTTTACCAGAAAAATTGAATTAAATTTTGTGAGTCTGTGTTTGGTTGAAGTTAAAATATTAATGAAAAAATAGGATGAAATGAAGAAAATAACCTTATAATTAAATTTTGCGCACAGATGTACTCCAATTAGAAGGGTAATATTGTCACGTTGCATGTCCACTTTCCCCATTTACCCAATTTTATTAAAATATCACATTGCAAGTTGTAATCTTGCACATTGTTCCTCTTCGCTTTTTTCACACAACTCACAATTTCTAAGCAACACCATTTGATGGGAAAAATTTTAAATCACTTGTCCCAAACAAGGACAACATGGAAACCCAATGAAGGATGCCTACGTATATCTTTAGAAAATCTGAACCAAACACTACCTAAAGTCAATTGATGCATGTTGGTTAGACCTTTTTTTATAGTTTCTTCAAAGTATCCACTGGCCAACAATTGAAGATTAATTTTTTCGAGGTAGAGATCACCGAACTGAGTTTTGTCTCTATAACAAATCATTTTACATACACACGGTCAGAGATCGAATTTCTATCAACATATTTAAGGAACCTAGTCATTTATCAACTGTGCCAAACTTTGTTGATCATATTAGTTAGACTTAGATAGCGCGAAATCGAACCAAATTTAATTCGGACATGTAAATTGTTAACCCAAATTAATTTTGTGAATTATAGACTAATCATACTGCATGTTTGACCTGCATTTTTTAAACATTTGTAATTAGTTTCTGAAAATGTCATTTTATATCATTTATTGAATGAATTTGTTTTGAAAAACGTAAATTAACTTGTATTAAAAGATTTCAAATTATTATTACTTTAAATGGATACATTTTTTGTTTTAAAATCATATTTCGATTGACTCAAAAAATAAAACAAAAATTAATAAACTAGGGTTAATTTTGATATTTTTTAAACTATATATAGCGTAAGCCGAGCTAAAATGAATTTAAACAATGGTTTTGCTGCTCAACCTATTTACTTTTTACTACATTATTTAATGGGATTCATTGGATTTATAAATAGGCATATCAAAGGGAGCACATTTTCTATGTTATGATAGTAGGTATTCCCTTATAAAATAAATAAATAAATATAAAAGAAAATAAGTATAAAGATAAAAATAATATAAATTTATTTTTTTATATTTAATAAAAAATACAATAAGTAGTTGATAGTCGTACTAAAAATATTTTCTAGAAAAAAAAGGGACAGAATAGTAGTAGTTTTTGACTTTTTGCCGCGTCTGTTGGGAGTGACAGAAGTGCATGCATCACTATAGCTGTAGCAGGAAATCTAGTCCGTGAATCATTTTAAACCTTTTTGTATTTTTAATAGGACAAAAGGAGAGTGATCACATGTGACCAGTCCCATCTTTTTTATTTCTTGAAGTCTCTACAGACCAAAGAGCTTTCACTAATTTTAAAGGGAAATTATTATCTCTTTTTACATGAGATAAGAACTTTTTCCTACATAAATTTATTTTCTGTGCCAATTAATTTTTCTTTTCTTTTTTAATTTAAAATGTGGGACCCACATTTAACTTATCTCTACTTTTTTTCTCTCCTACTATCCTACAACATAAGAAAATATGCACCCATTTTAAATCTCTAATCGTATACACCTAACAAATTAACAACCTTTTTCTTTTCTTAACAAAAGAGAACTGCATATGCTCTTAATTTAATATATATCACGCACTCTTGGTCACACAGATCATGGACTGAAACAAATTTACAGTGTAAAGGAATTTTCGGGGCACGCAGTCATATATGTTCAAATATAAGCAATGATGTATGTCCAATTCCAATCAATGCCTTGTTCCTCACGTCTTTGTGGAATGGCCACCCGCTGCCACGTGGAGGTTCAAAATCTCAGATTCGTTACTCGCATGGTTTCAGCTTTGGTTTGGTACCTCTCGACCTGATTTTTGACTATAATTCCTCTTTGCCCTAAACATCGGCATTATCTATGCTATTGTAATCATAATTAAATAGGGTCAAATTTCAAAGCACATTTTATTTTTCATTTGAAAATAAAGCCTGAGTTTTTTATTCGTTGGGACACGTGTTAAATCCGTATGTTATGTCGTTAACACCTGCAGAGTTCCAACCTAGGACGAAGAAATGGATCGCCATGTGTTCCCGATTGAGAGGGTGGAGGGACTATCCATTAGACAATGCAGAGGAAATAAAACTACGTGTCAAAATATTACAGTTCGAAATCAAATTGCCGAGAAACAACTGAGAAATCGATCCAATTGGAATTGATAGTCATTTGGTTTGGCATTGCATTCAGACCGAAAGTTGAGACAGCTGTTAATTTGTTCAGCAGGTGGAGGGGAGTTTGGTGAATGAATGTGACGCGAAATTAATGCAACATTGTGCCTGTGCAACCAAAAATCGAGAAATAAATAACAAAGTCAAAATACATAATGATGCTATCCGATTCTGAAAAAAAGAAGAAGGAAGAATGAAAAATATAATTGAATCCGTATGTCGGTGCCATCGTGTTAATATGAAATCGATATATATTCTACCCATTCGCGGACCTGCATGTTTGTATGTGCAAAAATACACACATAAAATTTTGGAGGAAAAAAAAAGTAAAGTACATTTGTGATTGTCAACACAAATTATGGGATATAATTTAATTTCTTAGAAAAAAAATCAAATCTCTCGAAATTCTAAAATATATAGGTTGAGTTAGTGAAAATGATAGTCTCTCTGAAATTAAAAAAAAATTCACATTAATCTTTCAAAATAATTAATATGCATCTATTTTGTAATAGCTTAGTTGACTCTTAATACTAGTTTTTTATTAAGTTGAGGTTTTCTTTACTTTTTTTTTATTTATATTCTTTTATTTTTTAATACATTTTAAAAAAAAATTAGAAATTTTTTTTCAAAGACATTATCCTTGTTCCCTTGCCTTTAAATATGCACATATAAATAATTTTTTTTGAATCCACCTGTATATTTTGTTTTGGATCAGCTGG